AATTTTGTGGTCGGAAGTCAAGGACTAATGACAGATCCCATGTACTGGTATTTATTTCTTAGTCTACCTTGTCTCCAGCAAAGCTCAGAGGGGCAAAGATGTTTCTTCTTGCCTTAACTGATTCCAGAAATTTGTGTGTGTGTGTGTCTTATATATATAAGGTAAAGGTTCCCCTTGCACACCTGTGCTCATCGTTTCCATCTGTAGGGGGCGCTGCTCATCTCTATTGCAAAGCCACAGAGCCAGCACTGTCCGAAGACGTCTCCGTGGTCATGTGGCCGGCATGACTCAACACCTTCGAAGGCTCATGGAACGCCGTTCCCTTCCCACCAAAGGGCTCCCTATTTTTCTACTTGCATTTTTTACATGCTTTCAAACTGCGAGGTTGGCAGAAGCTGGGACAAGTAACAGGAGCTCACTTCATTAGGCGGGGCTAGGGATTCGAACCACCAAACTGCCGACCTTTCTGATTGACAAGCTCAGCGCCTTAGCCACTGAGCCACTGCATCCCACAATGCAGTGGCTGTGTGTGTGTGTGTGTGTGTGTGTGTGTGTGTGTATGTTAGGCTGTTGTTGTGAGCTCCAGTTTGGCAATTTGGTTGCAAACATTTCATCACCATTTGAGGAGACATTGTCAGTGCATTTTGAGTTGTGCTCATCTGTCAGAACTCGGGTCTTTTGTTATCTTTTTATGAGATATTCAAACATGTTTCATAATGTATATATATGTGCATAGATGTCTGTGTGTGTGTGTGTGTGTGTGTATCTTTTGAGAGTGGGCATCAGAATTTCATTTTTTAAAGCGTGCCAGTGTGTTCACAGGAAAAAAATAAAGGTTACCTTTCCTTAAAAGAGTGTGCGGCCCCACATCAAATAATAAACGCACAAACGGATGTCCCCAGTCCTCATCCTGGATTAATTGGATGGTTGCTTGTTGAAACACAACCACAGCTATAAGGATACGATTAAAGTTGCAGAGGCTGATCTGCGTTGGTAAAAATGATGATAAACGCCTTGGAACATTTTCTCCGCTGGTATTTATTGGCATGCCAGGAAAAAGTGATGCCCGCGTGCCGAGACCTGTTAAGAATTATTATTTTTTTGAAGTTGTTAACATAACCTCTGCAATTCAGCGCAAGTGGTTCAATTTGAAAATGCTGCGAAATGGCTGGCACAGGCTGGCTGGCAAAGGCGTACAGAGAAGCAGTTTGTGCACCTGTGTTTAGGGTGGAAGAGCAGAAGGAAAACACCTGGAATCCCACCTGGGGAAATTTAATTCAGGTAATGCATTCCACATCTGGCTGTAAAGAGAACAGATCTTTTATTCCAGGCGTGGAGCATAGTGAGCCAGTGTGGTGCAATGGTTAAGGCAATGGTTAAGCTCTAAGCCAGGGGTGTCCAACCTTGGCAAGTTTAAGACTTGTGGACTTCAACTCCCAGAGTTCCTCAGCCAGCTTTGCTGGCTGAGGAACTCTGGGAGT